GTGTGTTTAGACTTCTGGAGCGCAGAGGATAAAAGCAAAACTCAGTGGATGTGCTTGTCCTGACCGATCACTTCACAAAGCTAGCTCATGCATTTCCATGCACCAATCAGACAGCGAAGCAGGTTGCTAAAAAGTTGTGGGACCATGTATTTTGTGTGTATGGATTTCCTGAACGGATCCATTCTGATCAGGGAGCAAACTTTGAAAGTGAGCTCATTGCTGAACTCCTTCGACTGGCAGGAGTATCGAAGTCTCACACCACTGCGTACCACCCCATGGGGAACGGGGGCACCGAGAGGTTCAACCGCACGCTTGGCAGCATGCTCAGATCACTGCCACTCAGAGAGAAGAACAAATGGCCTGAACAAATACAAACCCTGACTTTTGCATATATATGCAACTGTTCATGAGACTACAGGATTTGCTCCATTCCAACTCATGTTTGGTCGCGTTCCAAGGCTCCCGGTGGATGTGATCTTCAAGCAAGTGTTATGTGATCCAGTGACTACGATTAAAAACTTATGCCAAAACTCTCATGTCACATCTGTATGAGGCAGCTAAGATCGCTCAAGCACATGCTGTGGAAGAACAAGATAAACAGGCAGAAGGGTACAACAGAAAGTGAAAGGTACCCATTTGAATATAGGAGCTAGGGTATTGCTAGCAAACAAGGGTGAAAGAGGGAAGAAAAAGCTATCCGACAAGTGGAATGCTAAAGTTTACACAGTTGTTGACAGAAATCTCCAAACTCACACATACAAGTTGGAAGACAAGCAGGTAACAAAAAGATTGTGCACAGGAATCTGATATTGGACATCAGTTTTCTACCTGTGAGAACAGCTCAGGATGAGATGGCTGTTGACAGCCCAGAGGATGCACAGGGCCTGTTGGACTCCTTGATGCTTTGGAAGGCAGGAGATTGGATGTCGGAGATAATGAATGGGAGATGAGTAAATTGACAAACTGTGAGGGCAAGGTTGCTCTGGATCGAGAGGTGTCAGAACCAGACTCACCCAACCAGAGTCTTGTGATGCCTCACAGTGTAATGGAACCCTCAGATGAACATGCTGATAGTCATGTGACAGGAGAAGAGTTTGCACACAGTGAGTCAAGTTCATTCTACAGACACAGATGCTCTTCCTGTGAATTCAGATGCTAACATGGACATGTGTCATCTTCCAGAGAATGCTGACCAAGTTGTTAGGACTCGGGTGGGTCGGGTCAGCAAAAGGGTGAACAGACTCATTGAGTCTATGGTTCAAAGACCTTTTGATTTTAGGGATTTGGCAAACTCTGTGAGCCAAAAGTCCCAGTCCATTCTTACATGGTTTTGAGTGAATTTATTTGTTTCGAGTCCTGTTTATGGACAGTTCAGCATTGTAACTGTAGTGGAATATGGTTTTCCTCAAATATACATCTGGTATTGTGATTATTGGGTTAAAGCTGGCACAGAATTGTATGGTGTAAATGGCATCATATTGATCTGAGAAGGGCATAGGCCTGATCAACCATGTTCCTTCGTAACCTGTTTTGTAGGTGGCTCTCAAGCTGAATGCTATACTTGGTTATGGCAACCCTGTGCTAAAATTTTATCAAATTTGTCAGTTTATTCATGTGTAAGGATTGTGAAATTTAGACTGACTTGGATTTTGGTGAAATATAGGAGGGGTGGATGTAGCAAGTATGCAAAAAACTTGTTTATATTTCATCCCAAATCCATTTTCATTATCTATGTATATTTGTTTTTCTTGGATTTTGAGTTGTAATTTTATTTTGGTAAAGAAGCTTTTATTTTCTTGTTTCCTGTTTATTTTCTTGTTTCCTGTTTTTGCGTCACATCCTGCGTGTTCGCGCTACTCTCCTCAGTTCGCGCCGAACTGCGCTGGGGAGAGGTGAGTGCACAGAGCCGTCATCAGTTTGTTTATGAAAACATTCCAGATATTCTAAGAAAAGTATGTTTGCTAATTTAATATATCTTTATATATTGTTTTTGTACTGTTTTATGTTGGTGCAGTACTGTATTGGGTGTCTGATTCCCACCATTCCGACATTTGTTGAGTTTACCAAGGCAACCTGGTTAATTTTTTTTTTTTGATCGTTTAAGGTGTGTGCTGTATGTGGGAAAATCGGAGCCCAGACTGCTGCACTGATTTATTTTTGTTTTAAAACAGGTATGTGAGTTTCTTCAAAGTGTTATCTGGATGTTAGAGTAATGTAATTAATATGTTTTCATATATATCTTTTTATTGATTCAATTTGAACTGTGGGAGTGGCGACTGTTGGGCAGGTGATTTGTTTGTTTTTGTTTTGATTGTTTAGATGTTAAACAATGTTAGTGAACCTCTGATGGAATTCTGTGTGAGTTCGCGCCGAACTGCGCTGGGGAGAGGGTGTGCTGTATGTGGGAAAATCGGAGCCCAGACTGCTGCACTGATTTATTTTTGTTTTAAAACAGAATAAACCTGCTAGACATCCCGAGTCCTCGTCTGCTGGTCCCTTTTATACACAACGCAGAGTTCAAGTCTGCTACACGATTGAGAAAAAACAAATTTAGCTTATTTGTTCAAATTATATTCAGGTTTCACATGCAGCTGTTCATCTATACTATTAGAAAATTTTGATGAGTGAAACTTATTTTCAATACATCCATTGAACTTCTCTCCAACATAAAAAAAGGGAAATATATTCTTACATTTCGTTGGACAGTTCATTTATTTTACTCATGTTTTTCCAAGAATGGGAGCAATGCAAGAACTTAGTATTTATTTAAGAGTTACAAACAATTATTGTCTTGCTGCAACTGGGTAATAGAAATAACTGTAAAAAATATTCATTGCAAATAGTTTCATTTCATCCACAAAAGAAACACATTTCCAATGAAATTCTTCAGGTTAACACCTGATTGGATTTACAGATCTATCAGTTGTTTTTCTGCTGTCACTCCGCTCTCTGCTTCTCGCCTGTAACAGTCAGGCAATGTTCTAGGAAATAAATACAACATAGTCAACAACAACACAACAGCTGATCACAACATCAGTTTAAACAGCATAGGTGAAGCCAGGAGGGTATGTGGGGTGTTTCTTTTTTTCCTTTCTTTTTACAAAAGAGACAGGATGACCTGACTCAGGATTCTAGACGGGAAAGGAATGTCAGTTGTGTCTGCACAGACGGCCATTTCATAGGAAGTTGCTGCCATATATGGGAGCCTATTGTGTCTCAAGCTACATGCTCCAAGTGTGCCACGTTTCCGTAGCAACCAAGAGAAGGCCCCCGCCAACCCAACATGACTTTTGTTTTTTCATTTTTCTCTCTCTCTCTCACACACACATGCACACATCTACACCTTGGTTGCAGATGTGATGCTGAGAGCGAGATCAGAGACTGTATGACTCACCCTCATAACCTTTTCCCCAAAGTTCTCAGTCTGACAGCACTCAGAAGCTTCTCTTCGCATAAAGACATCTTTCCCTCTACACCTTTTCACTTTGTTTTTCACATCTTCATTCTGCAATTTTCATATTTGTAGGAAACAAAAATAAAGAAAAACAAGTTTCTGTGACTTCAAAAGCAGGTGGAACAAATAATTTCCGTAGGATTTCTGGGGGTTGCATCAGCCTACTGAATCATCCCCAAACCGGTAGGTCTCTGTGCAGTCAATAACTTCATAATTACAGCCGAAATGAAAAACTGTGCTGTTGCATAAGTAAGCAAAACTGTGCAATCAGGCAAATAACGAAGTAATTCTTGCTAAAGCTGAAAACTAATCACAAACCTCTCACTGCTATTTAGGCAAAATGAATGGCACTCAACAATGCTGGTGCATTAGTGAGAACTCCATTAATTTCTATGAATTAAAATTAACTTATTGGGCCGTTTGTGTAATCTAAAGGAGTTTTATAAATGTCTTATTAGGCACAGACTAGGCACAGTGTGTGTGCACACTCTTAATGTTTTATGACATTTCATTAGTATGTCAGGTGAGGAGCAGTTTGTGTGGAGCTGCAGGATTGAGTCACCAGCCCTCTTATCTTTTCTCTCCCTCCATCTCATCTCTCTTTTGTTACCTCTCTCATTTTCTCTCCCCCCCCGGGTGAACTCGGCTGGATCTTGTCTCATTTCAATTTGCATTTTGCATGCACTGAGACATGGCTCGCATGTATGTGAACACTGCCAGATAGTCTGCATAGAACTGATTTCATTACAGCGTTTATTCAAACTGTGCTGCGACATGGATGGAAGTAATGAGCTGGATAACATAAGAAAAATAAAGATGAGGGAGTATCGTGACACAAACACATCCCAATTATTTCTACTGTGCCACCATACACATTCCTCATGTACAAACAGACACTGTTAGAAGTACTCAGTGAACTACAGTGCCTTGTATTGTACCGCATGAACTTTTTTCATTGTTGCAATGAAAATCTTGTTTGCATAAAATGTCATAGACCAAAACAAAGTAGCATATAATTAAAAAGTTAAAAGAAACTAATTGTTGTATTTCCAGCACAAGGACATGCTTTGATCTAAACCATTTCATGGTTTTGTTTAGTATTTTTCTGCATTTATCCATTGACTATCCACTTTACAAGACTTTTATATACCTGCTAAAGAAAGGTATCTGCACAGCATGACGCTGCCACCACCATTTTAGTTTATGTCTAAAATCAATTGGGGGATTTTAGACAAAAACTAGGACGTACATTGTGCTTGGTGTGAAAACAGGGCTTATGTTGCCTGTCTGGACTCTATTAATTAGATTTCTGAAAGCAGTTAGTTCAGCTGGCACTTCACTTTTCAAGTGTTTTTTCATTAAAACATGGGAAAAAAATGCACCTTTTCCCTCCACAGTGTGTTCGTCTAACATTAAAAATGCCACTAAAATTTGCCAGAGTTTTTGCTTGCAATGTGACAAATTGTGAAAAAGTTTAAGTTGTCTAAATGTTTTAGTATGGTAGATGACACTGCAAAAATGAAGCAGAAAAAGAGAACCACTTTACCAGAAGCTGGGGACTTGCTGCGATGTGATTGCATGACAGTCCTGGGAGAGCATCGGTTGAGAGAACCTGACATCTTGCCATAGGTCACTGACTTCATCTTGCGGCATTCTGCAAGCGCAAACAGCATAACCATGCAATCTGAGGCAACTTGGTAGGCACAAACAAATATATCTGCTCAAATAGTGTCTTAATTCAGATAAAATAGTACTTAAAAATATTCTCCAACTATGAATGTTTGAGCCTGCATTGTTAACAGAGAAATGATAACCTATGAATCCAGCTGTAATTGGGTTTAGCTTGGGATCCCCAGGAAAAATGAGTCCTGACCTTCTCCTGGCTCGCTTTCCAAACAGAATTATTGCGGCGTTTCAGGAGTGGCGGCTATGACTCATTGAGAACTAGTACTTTGCAGAAACACAGTCCAAATAAATGAGCCGTGTGAACGCCAGCGCCCAACCTGCCTGCCTCCTTCTCCTCCAAAACTTTTCTCGTCTCCTGCTCATTAACTGAGCCCCATTAAAGCTCATTAACATTTCAGACAAGTGGGAAAGGAAAGAAATTCGCAGCCTGCCAGGCACGTCTGGCCTCATCCACCTCATCTGTGTGTGTCTGTGTGGCTGATTGTGTGACATTTTCTGTAACCCAGTGATTAATGTACAATACGGAGTGTTAACATGATGACTGTGTGCCAGAGTTGAGGCAGGGGCGATAATTATAGCCGGTGCTGAGAGGAGGCAACGTCTTCTGCAGCTCACTGCCTTACTGCTTAGTCTGTCACTCTGTGTTCCTGTCTGTCTGTTCCTCCATATTGCTCGCTGTCTGCCGGTGGATAAAGAGGTGTTAACTTACACTCCCCATCCCCTGACGCAGACAATTCAGGATCGATGTGTGTTGGGGACAAAAAGAGAATATTTCACTAATGTAGGATTATTAAAAAGTGGCTAGAAAGTCAACTTTTAGTTACGTTTTGAAGATGTAAAATAAACAGACATCTTAGGTCACATTTCATCTAAGTTTGGGGTAAAAAAAAAACAAGAAAGTCAGACATGAATTGTACCTGGATGCAGCCCTGCCAGGTTAATAAGCTTTTCATTTTAACGTGGCATAGAGAAGGCCAGGACAAGTTCTACCTGAAGTTCTACCTGAGTATTGAGTTTGTTGGCAGCACAGAATCTGTATACTTCCATATTTAACCTGCTGACTCCCTTCACACATTTTCCTGGGTGAGAAAAATTTGTTTGTGTTTTTCACTCTATTAAAAGCTTTTGTAACTGAAATTAGCTATAAAAATAATTGCATAACAGAATAAAATGATACTGTGAAAAAAGTCTTGCTTTGGTAATTCCATAAAAAAACTCAAATAATTCTAAGGTTTGCAAGAAAGAGAAAAATACAAAGTAAGAACATTTTTTTCTGTCTTTGATTTAAGTGATCAGTTACATGGCAAGTATGGTAAAAGACACTGAAATTGAAACTTTTTAAATTTAATATCAGAATGCTGATTTAATTCTAAGGCATAATTGTTTTTTTGTTCTGATTTACAAACTTGAGAAGTTAGATCAGTTTGTCAGATCTGATGTTTTCTGTGTACATTTTCTGCGAAGTTTTGTTTAAATTCCTTCTCTTGCTCAAGATATAGTCTGTTTCATGACTTGGTTCGTCAAGAACAAGACCAAGGTCTGAATCGAAAATAAAGGGACTCTGGACACTCAAAAGCAAGTATCAGCAGATGCTGGCACTGCTTGCCTTTTCAGGCGTAAGCCTCAGACACCGTCCTTGGAGTTGCTGCTTACTTTCTCCCCAGAGAGACTGAGGTGGCAGAACTACAAGTAGAGCAGAAATAAAGTGCTTTCAAGAAAGTAAATGACCTCATCTGACCCACAGTAGCCATTCTATTTCCATGCTGGTGCTGTAAGCCGATGGATCATAAGGTGGTTCAGAAATCAAATTGCTTCTCCAAAAATAAGCCCCTGAAATCAACATTACATCAAATTATTCTTCCCTGAGAAGCCATTTTCTTCAATGACCAGAAAATTAATTTAAAGTTAAACCTTTGATCAACTTAGATAATATTAAGAACATTTGATTTCTGGTTGATAAAACTCTATGTGCAGTGTGCAGTGTTTCAGCTCTGTTTCTGTCTTTTTACTTAATCAAATCATTAGGGAGGGGGTTAATAATAAAACTAACCCTTGATTAAAATAATTATTGTCTGGGGTGATTTTCATAATTATCCTTATCTGAAGTGTAATTATTTTTGATTGCTCATAAAAAATAGCTCAATTTGACTTGGGAGAGTTCCAAGACAAAAGCCACAGCTGACAAAAGAACACAAAAGTCCAATCTCACATTCACAAAAATCCTCAAGAAGTGGAAAAGTTGAACCTTTTGGAAGGTACAAATCATGTTACACCTTGCATAAAACTAACATAACATAAGGTTAGGCTGCCAGACAATAACCCAAAGCATACCATAAAGTCCAACTCTGAATGGCTGAATAAACCTTCAAAATGAAGGTTTTGGAGCAGTTCATTTAAAGTACAGACTTAAATGAATAGCTGAGGCATGACATAGGCATTTCATGCTTCAAACCTTCCAATGCCACCTGAATTTAAATAATTCTGCAAAGAAGAGGGGACCAAAATTTATCCAGACAGAAAAGCATGATGGTGGTTTTTGCTGCCAAGAGTGACACAACCAGTTTTTAGAAGCAAGATACTTTGGATAGTTTTGTTAAATTAATAAATGTAATTATAATTTGAAAACTGCATATTGTGTTTAGTCAGGTTGTCTTCTGATGATAAAAAGAGAAAGGACATCTCCAAAGCTCATAAAAAGCACAAAAAAATCCATATAATAATTAATCTTTTTAAAATTATAAAACATATTTTTGTTTCTTTAAGAATATGTTATTATATAAAAAATGACTCCATCTAGTATAAAAAAAGATTCATGCTCTTTATTAAACTTGAACATTAACAGCAGGGCAACAGTACAGATGTGTTTCTGCCTCTATGTTCCATCTTTACTACTGATGCCCACATTGAAAAAGAAAGAAAGTGTAATCTGAAAGATACAGTCAGAACTAGACTGACTGCTAAGATCCCCGCTTCTGGAGATAATTATCAGTAATTCCAGATAATACACATTCAAAATCATAACCCCCCTCTCACAAGGGAAGAAGGTCACCTAAAGAAGACTGGCTAATGGATTCAGGTAAGTATATTTGGGAAATGAATTGAGAAAAAAATAGTGTGCAAAAAAAAAGACAGAATAATGAGAATGGGGTGTATGCTGGAGAACCACGTTGGATGGACTTTATTTGGTGAATAAAGGGCAACAAATTAGACAAATGTACGGAATAAAATTTGAACAAAAGCCAGCACAAACTGATTCATGTGGGAGCAGAGGAGGGAAAGAATACAGATGAGCACTAAATGGCAACAGAAGGAGAAGCAGACAGCAAATCAGATGGGTGAAGTGAGGACAGAGAGTATCCTCAGTGGGCCGTGGCGGTAAGATGGAAAGAAAGGGAGCAGGGTTATAAGAGGTGAGACAAGAACAGGAAACAAGATGGGGATAAGAAAAGAAGGATCAGCACATATTACAGCATGGACTTAATTTCTTTTGTAACCTGAAGCAGAAAGATGGCAGTCCTTCAGGAAATGAAGCGATAGTCAAAACAGATGGATTTTACATCAGGTTCATTAATCACAGAAGTCATATCCCATGGTAAATGTTTGTATTTAAGGAGGCTGTTTCCTGCCATTTGCTAGTGGCAATACATTTCCACAGAGAATGTTGTTGTGTTAGATTGTACTAATCAGTTTTTACTTCTCCATAATTATAGCTTGTTCTTCATTTAATTAGATCAACAGACCCTGAAAGGATTCAGATAACAGCTTTTTATGTGAGTGAATGTTTGTTTCCCCTCTAGTTCCCATTGTGAATGAGTGATTCTAATGCTGAAAAGAATGCATATTACGCATGCAGGGACATTTGTAGCACATCTCCTTCTGGTCTGGCTCTTAAAATGCAAATTGGACAACTCAAGGAGATGCAAACACATAAATAAAGAATAGATGTGTCAGTACATCCATTCTGCTTGTACACAAAGCATTTAGTGTCTCGCAAAGCTCTTTTATACATTGAAAATATTCACATTCTGTCTGTGTTTTCTCAGGATTTACTGTGGTACAACAAAATAAAGCATGAAAAAAGAGTTAAGATTTTTCAAACTGGCATTGATCTATGACATGAGGTTTAGGAACGTGTACGAAAGGGTCTGCAAATACACAGCTGTGAAGCTGAGCAATGTGAGCAGGTTTCTGAGAATCACACATCAACATCTCTTTTCTGTGATGGCCTGAGTGTCTGTTATTGCAAAAATTTATTGTTATCAACCAATACATGCCTATACTGTTTACCAAGTTGTATAATTTTGAGTTTGTAACTTCAGCAAGAAACAATGAAAACGTTTGTAGAGCACCTTTTCCCTTACCACACTCATCCAACATCAAGTCATCATGGTAGCGAAACTTCTCTGGTCCACAGGCCACAAAAATATCCTCCTCACCAAAGAAGTCCTGCAGACATGCAACCTAGAAGTAAAGAGACATGTGAGTTGGTTTTATAGCAACACTGTTTAATCCAGAGTGCCAAGCAGAATACACAACAGCTGTTTTCTGCAATCAGAGCTGATCCTGCAAAGAAAGATTCTCTTCAAGGTCTGACAAATTTTATAATAATGGCTTTTTAGTGACACAGTCCAAATTTGATTTCTACAAGCAAAAACTAGCCTTCTTTTGTTTTGGTGGAAACATCAAATTAACCAAAGGAGACGGACAAAGATCATCCAGGGTGTCTGTTTGTGTTTGTTTTCAGCGCACGCTGCAGTTCTTCACTGTTTATCAGCCTATTGGTAACTATAATTAGACCTTGCTAAGTTGCAATTTGCTGATGTGCAGCAGCATGTAAACCAGACACCCAGAGAAGCAAGTGGGAGGTTCTCTTCTCATAATTCTTGTATCCTATAAACAGGAATAAATCAATCACATGAGATTAAATTTATTATGCGAGTAAACATGATGGACTTACAGGAGAGAGGATATTAAAATAACAAGATCACAGTAAAATAGGAAGATAAGTGACTAAATACCCATCTGACTCAGTCTTAATGACTCACTGTCACTCCTTGACAGACTCCATACTGTGCAGTTTATACCAGCTGACAGCAACCATTTAAATGCAAACTTACAAATCACAGGAACCTCCTCTGGAAATAAGTATTTAGTAATGTAGCATATGATGAATAAATATCATACACATTATTTACAAGTTGCTACAACAAACGTACGCAGCTGATCATTACTAGATGGATTTTGCGGCTTTTTAATTTCCAAACTCATTCTTACATTGCGGTTTAAAAGTTAGAATGAGAGGAATCAATCTGAGAAGGGCAGAGGGTGAAACTGAGCTAGACTCTGAATGATTTACTCAACTGAGTTAATTACACACAACAGGTCAACCATCACATTTGAGCCCCAAGGCACCAATATTCTAAATTATAATTCATGCATTGGCAACATTACAGTCAGAAACACTCTTTATGAGATGGCAACAGTTCATCTACCATGACAAATTTCTCACCACAAAACCTATTAAGAGCTATTACAGCTTAAGCTGCTCGGATGTGTAGCACCGCCCGGAGAAAACACATAAACACAAAACAACTGTTATTGCATTTTCAGAGCAATTAATATCCAAGGATCTATTTAGATTCCCATCTGCCTGCAAACTAGAGCCCCCAAAAGAAAGTCAAAGCTTATGTAACAGTAACACTGGCAAAAAACTGAATAAACAGGAGAAAAGGGCTTGTTAAAAGAATGTTTGATGTTGTGTGATGAGTATGAGAATGTAGGGAGACTGTTTTATCCCTTAAACAAGGCATGGATGAGACAAGGAAGAAGTTTTAAATCAAACACTCTGACACAAACTGGCTGCTGAGCATGTATTATTTCCCAATAACTTTTCAAATCTAGCACTATGTGTGTGTATTTCCAAGTGTGTTCATGCATTCGGCCTCAGACAGAATGAGGATGAGCGCTTCTGCACAAGTAAACATGAAAGGAAATTACACTCTTGTTTCATAACAGATTGTATATTGCTTTGTTCCCTGATGTCCCCTGACAGTGCTCTGATGATTTCAGGGCTGAGCATCTCCACTTCCCAAAAACATAACAATGATACAGACGATGACGCTACTGATGAAAAACTTTCAGACAGCTATGCTTCTTAAGTAATATGTTGTATTATTTCAGTGTTCTATTCATTTCCTGTGAGCTATTGCATTTCTTGGACCCATAGAAAAGAAAATAAAGACCATAACAACTATCAGATTAATGTTGTTCCAACAATTTAATTTCGCGCCAGACTTCTCACTTTCTTAGATTTTTTTAAAGCATAGATGCTACCTTTATGAAGCTATTATGTAACATGACTGTTCAAAGGTATATAAAGTGTGGAGACAAAGTTTTTTTTCTATTTAAATCACAATTTTCACAAGCAGACAGGCCTGATTAGTGCCAGACCTATAGATAAAAAAAAAAACAATCAGAACCGTCTGACAGCATAAAAAAGGCTAAAAGATCTAAAAAACCTACACATTACCTTCTTGCTGCAAGGCAATTATGGGCTGCACTACTGTGCAGCCCATAATTTATTATTAATTATTATTATTATTATTATTATTATTATTATTGAATGGCTTAAAGTTATTTGTGTAAAGAAATGTCAGTAAATATCCTTTGAAATAAAACATACCATGTTGAAGAAATAAAAATAGCTAAATGTTGCTCACACTATTTAAAAATGAACTCCAATTAGTTGATTAGATCAGTGCATTATTTGAGTTCTAATTTAATCATCTTCTGCCAACATTAAAAAACATTAGTGGTAGGATGACATTATTAAGCAGAGTTCAGAAGAAGAAGAAGCTATCTATGGTGACAACTTTATGCTGATGAGCAGGACAAAAGCACCAACTGTGAGCAACTGAGAGGGGTGTGAAAAAATATGGTTTCCATGGCAGTAATGTCCTTTGGCTATAGATGCATGCAGGCCATGTGCCACTTTATTGCACAATGTGCAGGCAGAGACAATAGAGTGCCATCATTCATATTTTAGCTACTCTAAGTATTTTACCCAGCAGAACTATGCCATTCATAAAAATCCCCACATGAACGCATCCACGCTTTGCATGGCCTGGTTATGCTGAAACAGTTATGCAATACCTCTTTTTTTAAACTGTTGTGTTCACAAGAAAGCAATGAAGGAGAGCAAAGGGAAACATACCAAATAAAAGTGGAGAGAGAGATCAAATATTCAAGTCCCAGAGTTAAATCAAAAGCAAATACAAAGCAAGAAAAATGGAAGAAAAAAAACACAACAGGGGAGATCTGTTTCTGACTGCAGTTCTGATTGTGCTAGATGACAAAACAAGTAGCTTTGATGTATCTGGTTCTCTGTTCGTACAGTGAAGTAGTGGAGTCACACAACGTGCCACTTTCAGAAACAAGGACAGGATGAAATAAACAGAACAAAAACAGGGGCAGAGTGATGTGAAGAGGGGTAATTTCATAACCAGTCTCTTTCCATGTGTGTAGTGCTGCCCACTACACACATGACTCACTGCACAGTTTACATCCTATACATAAATTTAAAAGGCTACAATAAAAAAAGGCATAGAAATCCAGAACAAGACAGAACAAGCGAAGTGTGACATTGCAAAATTGTATTTATCACCTTCTTCAAAAAGCCCATTTGCAGAAAAAATGAATGCTTTTCCATAGTTGGTTTGACATTATCAGTGTGCCACCTAGTGTTTAAATCACAAAACTCCAATTCTGTTAATTCTCTCTTGTTTCTGCTGCTTGTTTTTGTTTACTAATCATTTATTAAAACATAAGTTATTTATGTTTTAATAAAAGGTTAGTAACTAGTTATTTAGTTTGTTTAGCTTACTCTAGTGCTTCCAAAAATATAATTTGCTGAACAATTACAGAAATCATTACCACATCTGGACAAACAAATAACACCACATGGTGGCACTGTTTAACTATAAGATATTGAAAGCAACAACAATTTATTACTAGTAGCAAAAGAGTCCACAAACTGAATTTCTGGTATTTTTATTTTTTTTAATCGGGTTACAAAAGATTTTAGATTGTCTTGAAACACAGAGCAGTGGTGATAAAAAGAAGTGTGAAGGAGGAATGTATTTTAAACAGATTCACTATGAATAACATGCAGATCCAGTGACAGAGCAAAAGCAAATAAAAAACAAGATGCTTTAAACTGTAAACTAAGTAACACCACTATATCTCATCTTGTTTTAAGAGAATCTGTGGGCATAAAGTACAGCACCATGTAAAAATATTCACACCCCTTGATTTTATTCAACTGACCACTATAAAGTTATGCATATTGGAAAGAAAATGATACATGATATTCAAACATTTCCACCTTCAAAATCTATAATGTGTGGCATGCATTTTGAGTCCCTTTTACGTTGATACACTTAAAAAAATTCTGTGCAATCAATTGTAAGTAATCACCTACTGAATAAGTGGAGTCAATGTGTGTGTGTGTCACTCACTTTATGAAAGAGTGGACTCTGGAGGCTTGTCTTTGGGGGGGACAGGACAGTGGGTCATGTTTTGTTTGAAAATGGATGCAAAATAAAAGTCAATCTTGTGTTCTGGATGTAGAAGGCAGAGGTTTAGCTTTCAGCAGCCGTAATGATTTTCTCTATTTGCCAGATACGGTTTCTATTTCAAACTTGTTTTGTTGAATTAAACACCACTGCAAGATTCACACACAGCTCACATCGGAGCCACTCAGTGATCTCGATCTCTGACACAGGCTGTCTTGCTCAATTGCAGCTCCAGCAAATCAGCAGCTAAGAACAAATGATTAGTGACAGCGCTTCTTGTTCTGCACATTTACATCAGCTATTCTTGCCTTGCGTGTCATATGGCAGGTCTTACTTGAGAAGTCATATCTCAGCTCCTCAGGTTTTACGTTAGCACTTCTGACAGCCTCACAATAGCAAAACAATAGGAAACTAATAACTGCTGTGTCTTAAATGTGAAGCCAACTAAACCAAACTCTGAAAGAACACATAAAATAACCAAAAGTAAATATCTTATTGTAATTTTTTTTTTTTTTCAGACTAAGACTTACCAAACCTGTAACTGTAAACTTGTTTTATAAAAGGTTTAATAATGGCCTTAGAGCTTTTGTTTAATTTTGAGCTTCGGGGTCATCATGTCTCTTAGATTATACTTAAATATGGAGTGCTGGCATTTCAGACATTTTTTTTATATATACGTTACTTGTTAGAGAAGAAATATAATTTAAAAAATTACCATTTCAGCAAAATTCCTGCATGCTCTGTTTGAAGCTAAATCTAACTGATTGCTGCAAAGCCAGAACTCAACCTCCAATGTTCTTCCACCACAATGGACTTGCAGTGTTTACACAGAGGACACGGAGAGGGCAGCGTAATCCAGCCCACAGAAATATCACAGTTTGGAGGGAT